TGAAGGTATATATGCAATCGATAATTAGTGATTATGTCCGTCAACACGACAGAGATCATTTCATTTGTTCTTTGTTTGTGTCACGGTCTGCAAGACGTAATTATTTAGCTCTATACGCATTTAATATCGAAATTAATAATATTATTTATGATTGTGGCGAAACAATGACAGCTCTGGTGCGTTTACAATGGTGGCGTGAAATTATAAGTATAATCTACCGCAATAAAGCAGTAAATGATAATCCAATAATATTGGAACTTGCAAATGTTATATACTCTTGCACTATACCAGAATTTTTAATCAATGACTATCTTGATGGATATGAGCAAATGGTTTATCAGCCATTCTATAGAAATACTCCTAATTTAGAAAAAATTGCAGCACAAACTACTGTAACTTTGATAAAAATGCTTTTTACCATAATAATACAAAATTATAGCAACGATCAATTAGCGTATCATTGTGGAGTTGCTTGGCACTTAATGAATATCCTTCGCGGTACGGCTACAGAACAGTTGGATGAAGAAACAATGGTATCGATAGTTGAAAGAACTGAATACCATATAAATCAAGTAAAAAAGTTAATAAAGACGGTGCCAAAGGAAATAGTTAAAATAACACTACAAACGAGACTTGCAGGTTTATATCTAAAACGTATTCGCAATAAAAAATCTGACTTTACTAATGGTAAAATAGGTGTGATATCACCTATTATGCAAATCAAGATGTTGTTTTACTACTTTTTTATATAGACTATCTATTAAGTGGTCTATCAATAGACCACTTAATGCCTATCTCCGACAGCCATTTTGCCGTCATAATTTGCTTATGCTACTTAAATATATACCGCCGCAATAGTCTAAAATTGATAAGGCAGGGGTTTATGGCAGTGAGCATCATAAAAGACTAATAGATTTCTTGACAAAATCTATTTATAAGAGAAAATATTTAGCAAAAGCGCAGTTGAACATTGCCGAATATTTGAATGTGTTTTAGGAGCGCGGGTAAGCTTTTACAACACAGAATTTTTTACAAGAGATCTACTCTAATCGCTTTATTTAAAATGATTTT